TTGGCCCTAGGAGAGAACCTGTTACTAACCCTCTACCATAGTATTAAGATGCTGCCTAATGCCTAATTGCTATACTCATAGATCAGTGCCTCTCTCAACCCTCATCAGAGAAGTTTCTTCTTCCAGTAAAAGGCAATCACCACAGAGACCCACAACGTGGTCAGTGTGTAGAGAATAGGAGACCGTGGGATGCTGAGAGGGACATCTGTATTATATTCATCCCCCAAAGCTCGGGAATCTTTGTGAAAGAAAGGGTGGAAAGATTGTAAAAGCCAAAGGTGGTGGGAAGGTATAAGGAAACAGTGTTTTCCAGATAGCAGGGCAGTGGCACATAGGAACTCACAGCAATTGTGACAACATGCACAAGAAATGCCCAAGCTCAACCCTGACACAACTTCAGCATGAAGGGGGAAGTGGGCATGAAGTCCCACTTATAACTAAGGAGCTACTGGCATAGGATAGCTGCTGGGTGAGGAAGTGTTGGCTATATTTCAGGGTGTGGCTCCTGGTAAGTCAACCATGCCCCATGGCTGGTTCCAGAGTTGAGTATTTGGGCAATTTGCACAAATTGGACTCCATGGGGCAGGGAGAGGGGAAGAACAGGAAGATGGGTGGGTAGAGATGGAGATGGATCTGGGAGGAGTTAAGAGGGGAGAATATGATCAAAACACATTGGATGAAACTCTCAGAGGATTGATTAAAACAAAACAACCTAACCCCAAAGATTTAAAGAACATTAGCAACTACTGGCCAAAAGGAGTCAGGGGGCCAATTTGACCTCCCGCACCAAACAATAAAACCAGCAAAATATATGAAAAAAAATAGGGCACTACTTTTTATTTTTAATTTTGGTGGAAAGCAGAGATTTACTTAAATGTGGCTACATTAGGAAGAACAAACAAACAAACATTAACGGACTCCAGCAACCCCAAGTCCATCTTCAAGGGTGACATAAGCTTTAGGTTTAAGTAGAGAAGGAACTGAGGTTGGGGTAAAGAGGCATGCATAACTCAGTATTCTTGGACAAGGTGTAGTCTGGTAGATCATTGGTTCAGTCCTACTTAGGAAAAATGGTCCTGAAGAAGCTATCAACACTGTCACAGTTTGAGGGGAAAATCTAGTCCTTAGGAGATAATTCCTTCTCCTTCAGTGCATGGCCTCAACATTGGGAAGAACTGCCCATTTGGGAATAGACTAGACTGCATGCATGGGAGTAGTTTGAGTTCCAAGTCAGAAAGACACATTATCATCAGTCCTATTGTTCCTGGAGTTCAGGGTGACTTAAGAGGAAACATTAAGGAAGCAAATGCAGAGCCAGAGAGGGACAATGGAGTTCGGCTGGTGCTGTTCTTCAAATCTGAGTTGAGAGTCCAGGAAAATCAAGGTGGGCCTAGTTCATGGCACAGAGTAATTAGAAGGCAAGAGGCACAAAGAAAAGATCTCTGACCATGGAGGGAGACAGCTTGAGTATTCAGCAGAGTACTGAGCAGTGCATTGTGGGAGGAAACTACTGAAGGCCAGGAAAAGAACTGCCAACCAAGTTATAAAGAAAAATAATTGAATTTGGTACATGGTTAGGAATACTGCCTGTTCCCACAAGCTGGACTAGAAAACTAAAGACTCGTGGGCCAGCAGGCACTCAGAAAGGGCATGTCTTAGCACTTATGAATAATGAGCTCGAGACTAAAGGTCACTTTGTGGTCCCACCTCACAACATCTTAAGATTTAGACCCCAAATGCTGAGATAACCTTTTGAGTAACACAGCCACACCTGGAATGTGCTCAAATATATTTATGGGAATATCAAAATCTATAGTGCCCTGAAATCAAAATTTACAGTGTCTAGAATAAGACACATGTTGTCCAATACATGAAAGTGTCCCTCTGATATTGTGAGGTGTTTCAAGGCTGGGTCATCATCTTCCTTTACTGGCTACTGAGCATGTCCACATTTCTAGAGGCGGTAACTCAGAACTCCAGGACTCCTTTGGGATTCCATTCCTGTCTGTAATGTCCTCCATGATCCCTGTGCTGCTCTGACTCTGCATCTTCAGCTCCACATCACCAAGGGTGAATTCTTCTCTTGTCAAACAGAGGCTGCCGTAGTGCTGAATACTTCTGCTCCGGGTTCTGAATTTCAGAGAACTTGGCTTCTCTGTGTGCACATCTCACCTGAAGCTGCTCTGAGCAGTAGTTCTTGTGACTGCTCTTGGTAAAGTCTTCAAGTAGGGCTGGAGGCATGACACTGGTTAAGAGTGCATGCTGCTCTTGCCACACCTTGCCAGGTGTGGTAGCATGTGTTAGCCACTAGGGACATAAAGCAAGAGGATTGTAAACTGTGGCCAGCCTAGACAACATAGCAAGACTTCCCTTCTCAGAAACAAAGCAGGCCTTCTTTAAATGCCTCAACTATATTACAAGTCTGTTGTTTGGGAATAAAACTTTAAAAACTCTAAACGTTTTTCTAGCTGTCAGTGGAAGTCCATAGGATCCACTCAATTCAAGGGGCAGAACCTTTGGTGCTCTTCAGCAGCAGTGCAGTTCGTGGTTTAGAGCCTTGCTTGCAGAGCCTCAGCAGAAAATCGAAACTCTTAGATTTGATGAAGAATTGATTTAATAAGTTCCAATATTTGCATATGATTTTTCTCAGAAGAAAATGTACTGTGCATTATTTTGCTACTTTTTAAATATTTTTATCATTTTTATATGTGTGAGCGTAATACCTATGTGTAGGTAGGTGCACCGTTGTCATGCACTGCCTGAAGAGGTCAGAAGAGAGCTCTTAACTGCTGAGCCATCTCTCCAGCCCCAATTTTGCTGTTTTCTTTACATAATAAATCAGGGGCTAAGGAGTATAATTCATGGGTAGAGCTAGCATATATGAAGCTTAGAGTTCAGTCCCCCGCACCCAAGAAAAAAAGTAGCCTAATTAAAACCCACTTGCTGCTGGGTGTGGTGGCACATGCTTGTAATCTCATCACTTGGGAGGCAGAGGCAGGCAGAGCTCTGTGAGTCCAAGACTAGCCTGGTCTACATAGCCGGTTCCAAGCCAGTAAGAGTTACCCTATCTCAAAACAGACAGATAGCAACAACTGAAAGCACTTATACTGGCCGGAATCCCCAGAGCCTGTGGGAAAGTAGATGAGGAAACCATAGCCATGAGTCCTGGATAATAATGGGAAACTGCATCGTCAAGTATTTGAAGATGAAATTAGTAATTCCGGAAGTCTAAAATCTTTGATTCTTGGTCCCTAGCTACCAAGTCACAGCCCTTTTCCTCTGGAGAAGAGCATAGCTTGTTAGGAAGATCATGGTAGTGCTTTAGGACCTCTGCTTTCCCAAGATTCTGGAACAACACTGGGCAAATAACTCTTCCAAGTGATAGAAGTATGATTCTCGTTATTTTATCACATTTCCTGGTCAGTTGACTTGCTGCCTCTCCAGGTCCATGTGGTGGAAACTAAATTTCCAAAGGATAAAGCAAAGACTTGAACATAGTAAGTGAGCGGTGCAGACAGTGGCCAGCTTAATAATCATCTGACTGAGGCATGCCTCTAAGCTTTGAGCAGCTGTTTGGGGATAACCTTGGGGTTCTAATCCCTTTGCCGCAAACTAGCTATGCTGCCTTAGTTATTTGGGTCCCTTAGCCTCCTGTGGCTCATTCCCTGTTTCTCAAAGAAGGCAGATAAGATCCTGATGTTTTCCTCAGAACACTAGTCTCCAAAGTAATTGTGAAGAAAGGCAGGGCTGGGGAGGTCCATTTAAGCTGTGAAAGCACAGCACACAGTTACCCCTCTCAGGACCTCGTAGTTTTCATTATTGCTTGGAAAGTTCAGAGATGCATTTGACCAAGAACTGCCTACTGCCGGTGGTATGTATTTTAAAACATTAAGTTAGACATTCTCTGACTTCAAAAAATAAGTTATTCCTTAAGTTTATGATAAATATGTTTTCAGTTGGTTTTTGTATTTTCTAATTTCTTTTTTTTTTAAGGTGGTCAAAGTTTTTCATGGTGTTTAAGCATCCTGTTTTAATTTTCATTACTGAAAAAGTAACTTTTTTTTTTTTTTTGGTCTTTTTGAGACAGGGTCTTCCTGTATCCCCAGCTGGCCTGGAACTCACTATGTAGACCAGGCTGGCCTCAAACTCAGAGAGATCTGCCTGCCTCAGCCTCCCAAGTGCTGGGATTAAAGGTGCACACCACCACGCCTGGCTATTATTTTTATTTTAATGTGTATGCATGTATTGCCTGCATGTAGGTTTATTTATTTATTTATTTATTTATTTATTTTTATGTGTATGAGTGTATTGCTTACATGTGTGTAAGTGTACCCATGTTGTACAATGCCCATGGAGGTCAGAAAAGGGCATTGGATCCCCTGGAACTGGAATTATGGGTGGTTGTTAGCCACCATGTGGGTGCTGAGAATTGAACCTGGGTCATCTGCAAGAGCAATCAGTGCTATTAACCACTGAACTATCTCTCCAGCCCCTTTTGTGACATTTTACATTTTCATATTTTCAACACTAAAATAACTGTTTTAACTATTTCCATGCCTAAATTTTATAGTATTTTGAATTTAATTGAAGCCAGGTGTGGTGACACATGCCGGTGATCTCAGCATTTGTTTGAGGTTAGTTTCAACTATATAGTGAGACACTGTCTCATAAAACCAAGGGCTGGGACATACCTCAACGGCACAGCTCTCGTTTACCAGACACAAGGCCTTGGATTCTATCCCAAGCATGAGTGGGGAAAAAAATTTTAATTGTATGAGGGCGTCTATTGATTTGGGCTACAGTATGTCTGTGTAATCCTGGCTGACCTGGAACTCACTGTGTAGACCAGGCTGGCCTGAAATTTGTAGCAGTTTTCCTGCTCTGCCTCCTGGGTGCTGGGATTACAGGCATGTTCCACAGCCATTGAAGAAAGTAGAGTGGAGCAAGAAGTTAGTTGAAATGAGGATATTTATAAAATTCTTTTCTTTCAGCATGAAAATTATTTTGTTTATGTACAAATGTTCAAATCACATAACTTAAGCAAGTATACACTCTTACTTGGAAAAGAAGAAAAATCCATTACACCAAAGTTTACTGCGTATGTGGATCAGAAATTCATCTCTTTGATGTCATTAAGTAAGTTTTCCTGAACATCCAGAGGTGGTAAATAGAAGGCTATTAGGAGACGGTGTGCAGTTCGGATTCTTGAGCTTTCTGCGGTCTTCTTTACAGCCCCTCCCTTGCCATGCGTCCTTCCAAGCAGCTATGCCTTTGCTTTTACCACTTGGCCTTGTCTGCCATGCATTGGATCGGTGATGCTGTGTTTTGAGCTGGGGCTGAAATAGTTCAGATACAGCATAGTTCCAATCATCATTTCTGTAACTTTTTTTTTAACTTCTTGTATGTGTATGAGTGCATGTGTGCCATGGTTCATGGTGTGGATGTCAGAGGACAACATTGTGGAGTTGGTTCTCTTTCCACCTTTACACAGGTTCCAAGGAATGAGCTCAGGGTAGTCAGGCTTGCACAGCAAGTGTCTTTACCCACTGAGTCATCTTGCCAGCCATTTCTATAACTTAAGTTTACCATAAACAACAAACATAAGAAAGAAAAGTTACCTTTTATCTTGATGAAAATGTTCAGACTTTTTTCTCTGAGGCAGGGTCTCATATCCCAGGCTGGTGCTAAACTCATAGCCAAGAACGACCCTGAACTTCTGATCCTCCTGCCTCCATCTTCCAAGTCCTGGGATTGCAGGAGTATATGCCATCATGCCTGGTTTTATGTGATGCTGGGGAGTGAACTCAGGGCCTTGTATGTGCTAGGCAAGCACCCTACCGACTAACTACAACTCCAACCCCTCCCCCCCTTTTGGATTTAGTATATAATAGCCTGTACACACAGCCCCCCCCCCTTTTTGGATTTAGTATGTGATAGCCTGTACACCCAGGCCATCGCACAGATTTTGAGGTCAAGTCAGAAGACAACTTTCCTGAGTTGGTTCTTCTTCCATCATGTGGACGCTGGGAAACAAACCCAGGTTGACAGGTATGGTGACAAGTGCCTTTACCTGGCAAACCATTC